AACTCTATCCTAGCAAAACCAGGACATCCGTAAAGGACAACTATGTAAATACTTTTTGTTTAAAATAAATTCTTTGAGAAATTTTTTTTGCCAGGTAAAACTTTGGAATATTCTATTATGTTTTACTAGTCCAATCACCCTCTTAAATTTTGGGATATGTGGTTTCTATGTTTTGTTTTTAATTTGTGGTTCTGTGGCAAAGCTTGGATCTAAGTCTGAGGGGATGGTGGCAACCTGAAAGTCCTGTCATCTGTCCCTGTGCCCCAGTGCGTGATCAGTCTTGCTCCGGCTTTCCCTGTTAGAAGCTCATTTTGACAGGTGCAATTCTGTGCCTCTTTTGCACAGTATTTCGTGCAGTATTTTGCTTTATCTCTTCATAGCTTCCCCATATCACACTGGCATCAGATAATTGAGCTTGGAAGCGACCTCGGGACATCTCTAATTCAGTTGCCACTTCAAAACAGCTCTGAGGTCATACCAGGTTACTCAGTGTTAATTATATGCATATAGCTAGATACATCAGTGTATGTGTTGCTGATATGGACAGTGACATCCTCTTCTTTTTCCTCTGTTTCTTAATTCTTACCAAAGGATACCTTTTTAAATTGGTGTATGCCATGTGAATTACCCTACCAAGGCTGTGTTTAACAAAGTCAGAATTCTGATTATTTACTGAAATTTCTTATTCCTCTCATGTATTCCACATACTTCTTGCTCTAGTTTAGCCAACAAGGGGCTTTGGCAGATTTTCTTTTCTTTGTGTTATAGTCCTTCTAGTGATACTCCATCTACCCTGACTAGCTGTCTCCTGCGCAGGTTTTAGGCCACATTGCATTCTTTCCTAATTTTTCTAAGCAAGGGGAAAAAAAAAAAATATGATAATTGATGTTTCTCCATTGTAGAAAGGACTAGAAGCATCTGACCTTATCTTAATTCAGATAATGCTGGACTTGAGTTCTCCATGAACGTTTTGTAATTACAAAATCTCATCTATTCACTAGTGAGTTTCATGAAATGTCTTACTAACAAAATTGTATTTTAAAACATGTTTCACACCTCTGCCACTCAGACAAATGATGCTGAATAATGTTTAAGCAAAAGAGAAGAAAAGGAGCTGTGATAATTTAATGAGGTGTCCACAGATGGCTGGACTTACTCATTTTTTAACAGGATTTGGGTGAGAAGCTGATGTACCAACAAAATATGCGGCATCTTTAAGATCCACTGCTTCACTGAAGGGTAACAGGTGTTGTAGCTTTTTTAACAATAGGCTATCATGTTTCTAGACTCCTTTACCTACTTGCATTGCTAAAATCTTCACCCTTCCTGAGAGGCTATTTTAATAAATATTAATGCTATTAATGTAATTTATTGATTATAGATTCATCATAAGTTGGTTAGGCAAAGAAGAATGGGGGAAAAAATTAGTGTCTTAAAATGCTCAGCAGTTTCCACAATTCAGAGTCTGTGTTTGAAGAGAACAGTTTAATACAGAAGGACTGTAAGGTAAAAGCTGTAGGGTGGCAATGTTTGTAGGTGATACTACTAAATTTAGTTTAAACTTGGGTAAGTTATGTGAAACTTGTGTAAGAGTAATGTTGGACAACAGAGGATTTTCATAGCTGCTATACAGGAGGTCACAGGTTTGGAAAAACTGTAAACTGCTCCTGTGTTTTACTTTTTCTGTATTGCAGTAGAAATAATCAGGGGAAAAAACAGGGAAAACATTTGCTGAGCACATTGAGATGCCACAAAAAGCCTGAAACCAGCTCTGGGAAATGGTTAATTGCATAAACATGTAATATCCGCGTGTGTGTTTAGAGCTGTTTAGTGCTCATATTAAATTAAATAGTATTATGTTAAATTCCAGTCTGTGGAGTAGTAATAGGGGAGGCTCAGACACATGACAAAAATGTTTGCAAAGACTTGATCCATTTGACAAGCTTGTGACCATGCAATAAAGGTACACAACCCTGCCATGGTCAGGGGAAAAGTTCCTGTGCAGCCTTCTGTTTCCCTAGAGACAAGGAAGTTATTCTCTTTTCTTATTTTTCTTTTGCAGTCTTGATTTGGCCAGATTGATGCTGAAAGGTTAGTAGGATTCTAAAGAGGATTAAATGTGTGTATGGCAGTAGCAACCATGTTAAATAAAATTGAGCATTTACAGTGGCTGCTGACAGTATTTAGAGCAGAAGGCAAGCATTGAATCTGAAGTTAGTTAGAACATTGTAGTATCAGCGAGTTATTTACTAATTGTTGATTACGGAAGATTTTTGTCTTTCAGCCTTCTTGAAAATGATTGGCACAGCCATGGATGCAGAGAGGCTGCTGAACTACATTAGCATCTGGCTCAGTGCAGTGCATTCCTCCTCTCCTGGAAAGTGCAGGAGATGAAATACTGGCTCCATTGAAGGCAGCAGACTACAGCCAGAATTTTTACCCTCTGTATTTTCCAGGAGCATGGGAATTATTGCTCTTCTAGGCACATCTTTGCTTTTTCAGAAACAGAAACAATGAGCCACAAATCTCAGTGATGCTTTGACTGGGAATGCGGCTGCATGGAACGCATTTGCATTAAGTAGATTGTTCATTCACATTCCTACTATTGCTCTGGTGTTTTGATGAGGAGAGGGGAGAGACAAAAGGGAAGGAGAAAATAGGGACACAGTTGACTTTTTTTTCTTTTCCCCATCCCATTTGCTTTGTTCTAGCAGAAAACTTGAAGTTTGTGGTGCATCTAATTTGTATTGTATGCGTGTGAGAATCGCACTGTTGCTTACGTGTTCTCCTACTAGTGTTTAGAGAACATTCCAAGTGGGAAATCATCCTTCCTAAATTGAGTTTATTAACCTACGTTTCTGCTAGTCAGTAGTATTTTCTTTCATTGTCCTAAAATCGATATGTAATGTATTTTTTCTGCTACAGAAAGATTAATGCATATAGAAACATGAAAAAAAAAATCTTTAATATCAGAACCCCAAAGTGTCATTTGTTATTACGTTCATTTAGCAAAAAAATGGAGTAATATGTTCAACTGAGTAGCTTGCAACATGTGGGTGAAGAGTGGGTGCTGCTTGCTCATTGGAAATGTAGCTAATTTTCATTAGATCTTCTTGCGTAGTCTTGATGATTAAAATGGTTGGGAAATCCATCGAGGAAAACAGTAGCAATTCTTTTAAATTTTAACTTTAAAAATAGTTTTAAATGTGTTTGTAGTTTAAATAGACTGAATTTAATTATATGGTAATGTATTTGAAAACAGTTACAGAAAGTTAAGGAAATACAGGCTTACAAATGGATCAGTTGATATTTTGAAGAGGAAAGGGAAGCTCTGTAATGGAAAGACTCTGGACTAGTAGATGAAAAGGTATTTTCTAGCAGTATACTGCTGCAGGAGGTGTTTCAGCACGCTCGGACCTGTTACTGTTTATAAGCAGGTCTCAGAATTAATACTAATTAAGGCTTATATTTAGAGTGCCTCTTGTAATACACTGCTATTGTTTTGTGATTCTGTTGGCTAAAACAAAAGGGTCCTCCTCCACAATGGAAGCTTTTAAGCACTGCAAATTGCAAATAATTTTAGTACAAGAGAAAATAACTCTTTAGGACAAAATTATAGCTTAGGTTAAACTGTATATTTTAAAAACACACAGAACTATGATCAAATAAAGGTTTGACTAGCATTTAAGATGACCTGGAAAATGAACTATAATTTCTTTGCTAGTGAGTAATGAAACCATCTTAAATGATGAGGCAATCTGCCTCATTATCTTAAATAAAGCTTATTTAACCTTAATGGAGCACCTGCACAGAACAGAATATACAATGCCTGTGTTGTCCAAAAAGTGATTAGTACTAGCAAAGGATTTAACGTTAAGCATAGTTGAGCTTTAGGTTAGAAATTGCAGGGCTTTAGTCCTCCGATAACATTCTCATTTGTGCTGTAAGTTGCTGATACAGTGATTATACAAATGGTAGTTGTACAGGGTAAAGAGATTGCAACAGCTGAAGTGAAAACAGAAGTCACAGTGCTTGTCTGATGAAACGAGAAGGTCCAAGACTCCCTTCCGAGCTGGTGAAAGAATTGCCTTCGTATGCAGGTCTGTTAATAAAGATTTCTAATGAATTGTGAATTCAGGGGCTAGTACATTCTTCTTGATGAATAAGCAATGTAGAATGTGTGTCCAAAAAGGCAAGGGGTAATCACAGACCAATTAGTCTGATCCCAACACTGCCCTTTTAAAGGGATTCTGAAGGCAAGGGTAATTGAGAGAGGAAAATGAAAAGAAGGCTAAACTGTAATGTGACTTTTGTCTGTGATTTGCATCTGAGTTTCTTGATGAAGCAATTGCTGTCTTAGAGCACTAAAATACAGTGGGCATACCACAACACAGCCTTTTGATATGCTGTCCGGTTAGAAATTGTTAAAGGTCAAAATGATAGAAATTTAAATGAGAATGTTGAGATTGATAAGAATCAGAGGTAATTATGAAAATTTAATAGGTTATGTTGAGAGGGAAATCTTCAGAATGGAAAGATGCCTCAGAGACTAGACTTCAGAAAGATCAGGTTTAATATCTTCATTGGTCATTTTGCTGTGAGAACAAAGTATATACCTACACATTGGGGAGACCTTGTTACTCTTGCTGTGACCTCAGTGGTCTTATAGGAAGAACTAAATGATGCCATGGACAGAATAACGGTGACACTAGCACAATGTGCAAAGTCATGCAGGTACACCAAGATTCTTGGTATTGTACTAGTTGGGACAGAGGGACCGGTGATTTTACAAGAGAAAAGGCAGCTACTTGGTAGGTTATAGGATAGAATGTAACCTGGAGTGTGCAGAGAGCTAATGTGATTGTGAAATCTTTTGGGAAGATCTTTTCAGTAGATACAGAGAAGCAATTTTGTTATGTTTTCATGGATGTCTGTGATCTCAAATTACAATAGGCATTGCAATTTGTCTGTTGTCTCTGTCATTCTGCCAGCGATGTATGGCAGGAGAGTAAGAAGTGTTAGATATCAGTTGAAGCAAAAGAGGTTCTGACTGGATTTAAGGAGGAAATTCTTTACCATGAAGGCAGTCAGGTGGTAGGACAGGTTGCCCAACAGGTGGTACAGCCTCCATCCATGGGGGTTTTCAAGATCTGACTGGACAAATCCCCGAGTAACCTGCTCTGACCTCCTAGCTGACTCTGCTCTGGCTGAATCCCTTCCTACCCAAATGATTCTGCGATTCTGAGTCTTTAAAGATTGATGGAATGGTTTAGGGGAATGAGTAAAAGAAACTAAAGATTGTAGCTTCAGTAAACAGAAGGAAAGTTTAAAGAAGCTATGATTTTTATTCATATGAATACTTTAGAGGGAGGAAGTAATGGATAAATATCAAAGATGCAAATTAATAAATACCAAAACAAGATCAAGATCAAAGGACTGGAAGTTGGTTGTAAATACACTGGGAGCGGAAACCAGAAACTTTTTTCTGAGGGGAGTGAAGATGTGGAAGGAGCCTTCAGGCTCCCCAAGGGGAGAAAGTATGTAATGGTTGGAGATGGACCCGTACAAGGTTACGGAAGGAGTTGACAAAACAGTGATCTATGTGTTGGAAAGGTAACATGTTAGAATTCAGTCCAGCTATTCTGAACGATTGGGAGGGTCTCTGGTTTTGTTACTCCATCCCCATTTATATACATATTTAATGTTCAGTTTGTTTGGGTTTCCTCTACATCATCCAAGGTAGGCCACAACTAGAGAACAGGAGTGCTGGCGCTTCTCATTGCATTAACATTCTTGATCTCTCACGTGGTGGCATGTGATAATTTGTAGATTTTGATCTTTTACTATAGGTCTTCTGTTTAATATTGAATGGGAAGAAGGTGTTTTGTGGGTTTGCTCAAATAAATCTCATATGTTCTTGGCTTTGCAGAGCGCTGGAGTTGATGCTATTGAGGCTTATTTTTCTATGGCAGAAGTCTATATTAAATCTTTGTGAAAAGTGTGTATTAATATTTGTACTTAAGTGGGTGCTAATAATGAAGAATTCTACAGTCCAAGTAAAGAAGTTTTTCATTCAAGTGGGAAAAGCCTGAACGTGTGACATCAGATGTTGCCTCTTGCTTCTCCAAAGATTTCTACAAAAATCGGAGAGCCAGGGTCAGACAGTTTAAAAAACAGACAAAAACCCTGTGGGATTTTCTTGAAAGTAAATCAGGATTCAAGCTGAGAATGATAGAAAGTACCATTTAACTAAAGAAACACGTTACAGATTCTTCCTTAGGCAAATACAGTGAATATGGACAGAGGATACTACAGGAGATGGAGTTTTGGCACCAGTGTTTAACTGATAAGCAGCACGTGGTGAAATACAAGGATGTTGAGGCACAAGAGGTAGATAACTCATCCATCCCTTTTCTGCCCCTTCACATTGAAGAGCTGCACAGTATTTTTCATCCATGAGTACCTTGCATACTTCAACATCAAATTAAATTCCCTGATCTGAGTGATTGTTTATTATTCCTTTTTAAAGGAAGAAAGAATAGTAAAGCACTGCACTAGGTATTTAAAAGATAGAGAAAACATTGATCCTATTACTGTTAAATTTGCACTGCATTCTTGATAGATGTTCAGTGAAAATACTGGTTTGAACCATTTGGAAATGTGTTGAGCATCTAGAACAACGTAAAAGAGGTCACAGAGCTGACAGCAGCTTTGCTGGCTGGTTCAGCTGTGGCCTTGGTGGAACCCACCAGCCCCAACAGCATCTGGCACAGGGTGGCCCTGGCCTCTTCTCATGGAGGCCACCCTGGCAGCTCCTCTGCTGCTGACACTGGGACATGGCCACCCAAGCCAAATTGAAGCCATTCTGTAGACTTTGGGTATTTCTGGAGAACATTTTCACTCAGAAGGTGACATGTTCTTTGTGTAGCACTGCCGGGTTGGCATGGCAGCAGTACCTTTGGTTTATGCTGTGGAGAAACTCAGTTCTCAGGTACACTAACATGAGAAAGATAAATATTTACACGTGAATCAATGCAGTTTTTATTTTATGGTGCTGTACGTAAGGTGCTTTGTAGCTGAAATCTTCAAAGGGATGTTCCGTTTCCATGGAATTTCAGTGGGATCTGGTCCTTTAACACCCTTTTCATGGTCTAGTTAAATTACTATGAAGTGAAACTTTTACTTAGACGTGGCTGGTGACAAAGTAGTAGAAAATACTTTTCTACATTGTTGGCTTAAGTTCTTAACTTCTAAACTTCTAATTTTAAGATGTGAGATCTTCTAAGGTGATAAGAAAAAACCTCGCATTTGAAGTAGTCCTGTCGTGTAGACTGAAAACTCAAGAGTGGAAGGCATACAAGAAGCCTTATCCTCTCCTTGTTACTATCTCCTGAGCAAGTACTAGATGGCATCTTTGTTCCACTGCAAGTGAATCAGTGGCTCTTACATGGTTCAAACTGGATTTATTTGGATGTACCAGGCAGAGATGCTACTGTGATTTTTGCCACTTATGTGCTATGTACTCCTTAAGGGTAACAGCAACGCTAGAGAAGTGAGCAGGGGATACCACCATGTTTCCTCCCATTTTTGAGGACTCCAAAGACTTCTGTTTTGTTGCCAGCATTTGCTTGTTTCTAAAACTACTTCTGTTTTTAAAATCAATACTTTTGTTACTGGTTTTATTTGCCTTTACACCAGCTACGTTTAGCATTGTGCTGTCAATTGTTAGGGATTTTCAAGAGTTGGAGAGCAGCTTAATATTTTTTAAAACTAGGTTAATGATCTTGACTTGAACTTCAAAGCTTTGGTGTCATCTTTGGAATACCTCTATTTTTAAATTTTTTTAACGTTTCCATTTTGTATTTGCAGGCCTTCCCAGGTTCACCAGTCAGCCAGAGTCGTCATCTGTCTACAGAGGAAACAGTGCAATCCTTAACTGTGAAGTCAATGTTGACCTTGCACCATTTGTGAGGTGGGAGCAGGATCGTCAGCCGATCTTTCTGGATGATCGTGTATTTAAATTACCCAGTGGAGCTCTAATTATTAGCAACGCTACCGATACGGATGGAGGACTCTATCGCTGCATCATTGAAAGTGGTGGGACCCCCAAATACAGTGACGAAGCAGAGCTCAAAATTCTTCCAGGTATTAATCTGGTTTTCTTTTAAAAAATTAATAATAAAAACATTAGTCAAGTGATAGGAGGGAAAACCTAACAAGAATACTTAAAAAGGGGAATATATGAGAATCCGCTCTGTTGCATTTTAGTATGTTTTAAGTGGAACTAATTGTAATGTGGAAGCTGGTGGTTGGGGTTTTTTTGTTTTGTTTTTTTCTGTGTAGCTTAAAATAAGTGCAAGCACTTAAGCTGAAGCATTTTGGCCCTTGGCAAGACTAACCTGTGTCTTGCAGTTGGGAAACAGAAAAGCAAAATCAGTTATCGGTGTCAGCTCTTTTCAGTGGTTGGAGATAGACTGGAGACAGGCACGTGTTAATTTGTCATGTTTAATGATTTAGCTTTTAAGAGCTTTTTGGGAAAGACTTCTTTTAAAAGAAGTCACTAGTAATACACTTCCACTGTGACATGTTTACGGAGAGGGAACTGACTATTTCTTTGAGTATAAGTGTGTGGAGATTTCTAAGTTTCTAAGGCTTGAATCCCATGTTTAAAATGCAGTTGAAGTTCCCAAAAGAAATCGGTGCTTAGTTGCTCACTCTTGGGATGCTTAAGCTGAGGCACTTCCAATTATCCCAATATTTAGGAATTTCTGATTCTTTAAACATTGGACCCTTTGGGGAAGTCTTCAGACCCCAAAAAGGAGGGATGACTTTTATTTTTAAAGATTTAATTATGCCTATGTTTAGATTTTTTTATAAGAACAAAAATCCAGTCCTGTTTGTACATTTAGTGTGTTCTGTTTGAAATCACAGTATTGCACAGAGCTGTATGTCACCAGATGTTCTAATACAGAGTTTTGAAAATTGACCAAGAATAAGACAGGAATGTGAATTGCACTTTTCCAAACTAGGGAAATACAGGCTGGTTTTTGTACAAGCTTTCTTAATTATTTCCAGAACTTTATGCTATCCCTTCTGAATTAGTCTTCATGTTGAAATTCTGATTCAATTTTCACTGCTTGGAGAGGAGTAACCAGGGCGGGTTGCTAAATGGCCATCTTCGGAGGTTTTCAGAGCTAGGCTGGGCAATATCATGGTTGACCTGACCTGTTGTTGGCAACAGGAGGACTTCAAGCAGGTGGTTGCACTAGGCATCTTCAGAGGTTCTTTTCAATTAGTACTTTTGTTTGTCATGACTATGTCACTTTTCTATTTAAAATGCTAAAATATACTTTAAAATACCACAATTGTACAATTGCAACCTTCCCTCTCTTAAAATTGAGATGTTTTCCAGGCTTTGGAAACTAATAATGCTTAAAATAGGAAATTGTTTCATTAAGTTCTTTAGCATTTCTGAAAAGAAAGGCTCATCTTTTCTTCAGTTAAGGATATGGTTTTTGAAGAAGAGTGCTTTTGGAAAATATACTGATTTTTTTTTGTTTTGCCTTCATGTTTATGCAGCCCTCACATGAATACTTAAGACTTTTTCTGATTTTTGGCAATTAAAGATTTCCTGATGAACTTCTGTATTGTGGTGATCTTCTGGATTCTTTTGGCAGATATGATTTACTTGGTTTTGCAATGTTTTGCTGAAGGATGATTGAAGATAGCTCCATTAGGGAATACAAATAATGCTGTTTCCTTGCTTGGTCATGAGTCTGAAAGTGTTGAAAGTGAAGTTTTGTGAAATCCTTCTCAGCAGGTTTTTTGTGGTGGTGTTTTTTTTTGTTTGGTTGATTGGTTTTGTTTGGTTTTTTTTAAAGTGGGATTAAACTATTCCACAGAAAGCTTTCTTAAGCTTGAGGGGCCCTGTAATTGATTGCTTGGTCTGAGATGTATTTGAAAGAAGGATTTGAATGAATCTGTTCTTCATTCATTTTATTCTATTTTTAAATCGTAATCTGATGTGTCTCTGACAGTGACCCCATTGCTCTAATTCTAAATACTTGAAATACACCCAACGTGCACTTGCATCACCCAGATCTGCATCCACAGACAGTGTTCTTTTTCTGATTGCAAGCTTCCATAGAGCATCCAGTCTGCCTTTCATCTGCCACCAAGCAGAAGGATACATTTCTGAGCTCCCCTACTTAATAGGAGATGCTTTCAAATACCGGAATGCAAAGAAAAAAAATTGTCACTTAATTTTTGAATCCAGTTTCCACTAACCTGAGAACTGAACTCCCTTTTTGGGAGCTTGGAGCATTAATGAGTTCTGTCTCTGGTGAATCATACCGACTCCTCTCCCTGGTGTAGTGATTGCTTGCTGGCAATCTGTTAGATCCATTTTTTTGCAACTTGGCTTGCATATGCAGCTCCAGGTCACTCTCACTGCGTTACCGCCTGTTCACACATGGTCTTATTTCTGGAGCAAGCTGACTAGTTCCCTCTGACAGGGAACGTGAGCAGAGCTGCTGTGATAGTTTGTGTGGGCAGATGGTGTGATCCAGAATTGCTCCAAGTTTGGCTCCTTCTTCCTGGGACAGTTTTGAAACATGATTTCCATTGGGCCTGGTTCTCCCAAATATGCTGGCAACTTCATGTTTTACCGTGGAACATGTGCATGCCCTTACCTTAGTGCTGTAAACGCTTGATTTTTATTTTTAGTACTTTGAGCTGAAGAACACCAAAACCAACAACTTCCAGTAGCTCCTGTGAATATCCTCTAAGTCCCAGGTGAGACAGGAGCCAGATACCATGTGGGATAGGCACATAACTGGCTTCAGTGAGCAAAAATAGTGTAGGTACAGAATAGTCTGCCCCTGTTTAGGGGGCCAAAACCAGCTATTGCTGTTCTGGAGCTTGCTTCTCATTAAACTTGTAAGTGCACACCTGAGTATTGAGAATACAGCAATTAATGCAGCATAAACACTAGGTTTTTTTGAGCAGCTGGCAGAAAGAGTTGTGATAACACAACAGAAATGCTCTAGCTGGTATGTAGGGAACTCATTTACTGTAATTACAGTGCAAGGTACATGCTGAACTTACTGCAGAGACAAAGGGTACAAACTGCATCTTCTGTCAAGGTGATACTGGGACCCCCTGATGAATTGGTTACAGTTCAGTTAAAATTGATTTACATATTTTTAGTAAAGTAGAAAAATAGCCCTTTGTTTTGAATATTTATTTGTGGTTGTTTAGTTGAGAGTACATTGCTGGACAGCCTTTACTGGTAGGTATAATTCCAGTTCTCACAGTCCAAATGGCCTTTTCCTGTAGTAAAAGACTGAGTAAATAGGCATTTTGCTTGTGTTTGTTCTTAAGAGGGTGAGGAAAAAAAAGAAACAAACCTCCCTCCAGCCCAATTCAAAGCAAAACCAAAACTAATTCAGAGGATTTCCATAAGAATGGAAAATCATGGTTTATTTTTGTTCTAGGGTAAAGCTTGTGCTACTTCAGCATGCAAATTATCTAGTTATTTTATTTTGCTTAAGGTTAACTCTCTGCTGCAATAATTTCATTTCCTAGCGCATAAAAGCATTTTCTCAGGCAGCTACATAATGAAGTCAAGTGATTGCCTGAGGCTGGCTGGACAAAGGCAAACCTACACCTTTCTGTACTAAATCTCTACTAGCTGGTGGAAATTCCAGTTTCAGGGCTGTAGCTTTTAGCTGAAATTGTTTCCCAGGGAGTTTGAGGAGTCAGAATCCCAGCGATGGCAAATCAGTTTGCATGTCTGGAGGAAATGGTAAAGAGCTGTTCACATGAGAGGCTGGGAGAGTCCCTTACAGAAAACCATTTATGCAGGTAAGGTGGTGATTGAATCCTGTGAAGATGCAGGAAGGAAATTGCACATTTCATTGCGCTTGCAGCCCAGAAGGCCAACCATATCCTGGGCTGTATCAAGAGAAGCGTGGCCAGCAGGTCGAGGGAGGTGATTCTCCCCCTCTACTCCGCTCTTGTAGGGCCCCACCTGGAGTGCTGCCTCCAGTTCTGGAGCCCCCAACACAAGAGAGACATGGACCAGTTAGAACAAGTCTAGAGGAGGCCACGAGGATAATCAGAGAGCTGGAGCACCTCTCCTGTGAGGACAGGCTGAGAGAGTTGGGGCTGTTCAGCCTGGATAAGAGAAGGCTCCGGGGAGATCTTATAGCGGCCTTCCAGTACCTGAAGGGGCTCCAGGAAGGCTGGGGAGGGACTTTTCATAAGGGCAGTTAATGACAGAACAAGGGGAAATGGGTTTAAGCTGAAAGAGGGCAGGTTTAGATTAGATATTAGGAAGAAGTTCTTCACTGTGAGGGTGGTCAGACGCTGTCCCAGGCTGCCCAGAGAAGTTGTGGCTGCCCCCTCCCTGGAAGTGTTGAAGGCCAGGCTGGAT